CTAGTCCAAAATGAATAATGTGACAATGCTTCATCTAATGAAAATTTGCAGATAATATTACTACTACTAATACTACTAGTGGAAATAAAGCAATTGAAATGAAGATGAAAGAAATCCTAGTCCAAAATGAATAATGCTTGACAATGCTTCATCTAATGAAAATTGCAGATAATACTACTACTAATACTAGTGGAAATAAAGCAATTGAAATAAAGAAAATCCTGTCCAAAATGAAATACTTCATCTAATGAAAATCAGATAATTTACTACTACTAATAAATGAAATAAAAGCAATTGAAATGAAGATGAAAAAATCCTAGTCCAAAAATGAATAATGCTTGACAATCTTAATCAAAATTGCTAATGAAAATTGCATATAATATTACTACTACTAATACTACTAGTGGAAATAAAGCAATTGAAATGAAGATGAAGAAAATCCTAGTCCAAAATGAATAATGCTTGACAATGCTTCATCTAATGAAAATTGCAGATAATATTACTACTACTAATAGGTGAACTAAACAATTGAAATGAAGATGAAAAAAAAAAGTCCAATTGAATAATGCTTGAAATCTCACATCTAATGAAAATTGCAGATAATATTACTACTACTACTAATAAAGAAAAAGCAATTGAAATGAAGATGAAAAGAAATCCTAATCCAAAAATGCCAATGACAATGCTTCATCTAATGAAAATTGCAGATAATATTACTACTACTAATACTACTAGTGGAAATAAAGCAATTGAAATGAAGATGAAAGAAATCCTAGTCCAAAATGAATAATGCTTGACAATGCTTCATCTAATGAAAAATTGCAGATAATATTACTACTACTAATACTACTAGTGGAAATAAACAATTGAAATGAAGATGAAAGAAATCCTAGTCCAAAATGAATAATGCTTGACAATGCTTCATCTAATGAAAATTGCAGATAATATTACTACTACTAATACTACTAGTGGAAATAAAAGCAATTGAAATGAAGATGAAAAAATCCTAGTCCAAAATGAATAATGCTTGACAATGCTTCATCTAATGAAAATTGCAGATAATATTACTACTACTAATACTACTAGTGAAATAAAGCAATTGAAATGAAGATGAAAGAAATCCTAGTCCAAAATGAATAATGCTTGACAATGCTTCATCTAATGAAAATTGCAGATAATATTACTACTACTAATACTACTAGTGGAAATAAAAGCAATTGAAATGAAGATGAAAAGAAATCCTAGTCCAAAATGAATAATGCTTGACAATGACTTTTATCTAATGAAAATTGCATATAATATTACTACTACTAATACTACTAGTGAAATAAAAGCAATTGAAATGAAGATGAAAGAAATCCTAGTCCAAAATGAATAATGCTTGACAATGCTTTATCTAATGAAAATTGCATATAATATTACTACTACTAATACTACTAGTGGAAATAAAAGCAATTGAAATGAAGATGAAAAAATCCTAGTCCAAAATGAATAATTTTGACAATGCTTCATCTAATGAAAATTGCAGATAATACTACTACTAATACTACTAGTGGAAATAAAAGCAATTGAAATGAAGATGAAAGAAATCCTAGTCCAAAATGAATAATGTTTGACAATGCTTCATCTAATGAAAATTGCAGATAATATTACTACTACTAATACTACTAGTGAAATAAAGCAATTGAAATGAAGATGAAAGAAATCCTAGTCCAAAATGAATAATGACAACAATGCTTCATCTAATGAAAATTTGCAGATAATATTACTACTACTAATACTACTAGTGGAAATAAAGCAATTAAATGAAGATGAAAGAAATCCTAGTCCAAAATGAATAATGCTTGGACAATGCTTTATCTAATGAAAATTGCATATAATATTACTACTACTAATACTACTAGTGAAAATAAAAACAATTGAAATGAAGATGAAAGAAATAGTCCAAAATGAATAATGTTTGACAATGTTTATCTAATGAAAATTGCAGATAATATTACTACTACTAATACTACTAGTGGAAATAAAGCAATTGAAATGAAGATGAAAAAATCCCTAGTCCAAAATGAATAATGCTTGACAATGCTTCATCTAATGAAAATTGCAGATTTACTACTACTAATACTAGTGGAAATAAAAGCTAAATTGAAATGAAGATGAAAGAAAATCCTAGTCAAAATGAATAATTTGACAATGCTTCATCTAATGAAAATTGCAGATAATATTACTACTACTAATACTGAAGTGAAAATGGCAATTGAAATGAAGATGAAAGAAACCTTCAAAATGAATAATGTTTGACAATACTTCATCTAATGAAAATTGCAGATAATTCTTCTAGTAGGTGTACCAAAAAAAAAAATTGAAAAAGAGAAAAGAAATGCTTCCCAAAATGAAAATCTTGACAATGCTTCATCTAATTACTACTATCTATACTAATACTATGTGGAAATAAAGCAATTAAAATGAAGATGAAAGAAATCTAGTCCAAAAATGAATTGGTTTCTAATGAAAAATTGCAGATTCATCTAATAATAAATTGCAAGATAATATTGAAATACTACTAATAATCCAAATGAATAAAAAAACAAAAAAATGAAAATTGAAAAAATACTACTAATACTATGGAAAGGAAAAAAAATGAAGATGAAAGAAAATCCAAAAATGAATAATGCTTGACAATGCTTTTTCATCTAATGAAAATTGCAGATAATATTACTACTACTAATACTACTAGTGGAAATAAAAAATTGAAATGAAGAGAAAGAAATCCTAGTCCAAAATGAATAATGCTTGACAATACTTCATCTAATGAAAATTGCAGATAATATTACTACTACTAATACTACTAGTGGAAATAAAGCAATTGAAATGAATGAAAAATGTCCAAAAAAGAAATCCAGCGTGGAAATGAATAAGACAATGTTACCGATAATCTAAATGAAGTCAAAAATTGTCCATCTGGACGTTATTAATACTAAGATAATATTTCTCTCTTGGAAATAAAGCAATTGAAATGAAGATGAAAGAAATCCTAGTCCAAAAAAAATGAATAATGAATAATGCCGTTGGATCTAATGAAAATTTCATATAATATTACTACTACTAATACTACTAGTGGAAATAAAGCAATTGAAATGAAGATGAAAGAAATCCTAGTCCAAAATGAATAATGCTTGACAATGGATATCTAATGAAAATTGCATATAATATTACTACTAATACTACTAGTGGAAATAAAGCAATTGAAATGAAGATGAAAGAAATCCTAGTCCAAAATGAATAATGCTTGACAATGCTTCATCTAATGAAAATTGCAGATAATTATTACTACTAATACTCTAGTGGAAATAAAGCAATTGAAATGAAGATGAAAGAAACTAGTCCAAAATGAATAATATGATATGTTTCATCTAATGAAAATTGCAGATAATATTACTACTACTAATACTACTAGTGGAAATAAACTAATTGAAATGAAGATGAAAGAAATCCTAGTCCAAAATGAATAATGCTTGACAATCCTTCATCTAATGAAAATTGCAGATAATATTACTACTACTAATACTACTAGTGGAAATAAAGCAATTGAAATGAAGATGAAAGAAATCCTAGTCCAAAATGAATAATGCTTGACAATGCTTCATCTAATGAAAATTGCAGATAATATTACTACTACTAATACTACTAGTGGAAATAAAGCAATTGAAATGAAGATGAAAGAAATCCTAGTCCAAAATGAATAATGCTTTTGACAATGCTTCATCTAATGAAAATTGCAGATAATATTACTACTACTAATACTACTAGTGGAAATAAAGCAATTGAAATGAAGATGAAAAGAAATCCTAGTCCAAAATGAATAATGTTTGACAATGCTTCATCTAATGAAAATTGCAGATAATATTACTACTACTAATACTACTAGTGGAAATAAAGCAATTGAAATGAAGATGAAAGAAATCCTAGTCCAAAATGAATAATGCTTGACAATGCTTCATCTAATGAAAATTGCAGATAATATTACTACTACTAATACTACTAGTGGAAATAAAGCAATTGAAATGAAGATGAAAGAAATCCTAGTCCAAAATGAATAATGCTTGACAATGCTTCATCTAATGAAAATTGCAGATAATATTACTACTACTAATACTACTAGTGGAAATAAAGCAATTGAAATGAAGATGAAAGAAATCCTAGTCCAAAATGAATAATGCTTGACAATGTTTCATCTAATGAAAATTGCAGATAATATTACTACTACTAATACTACTAGTGGAAATAAAGCAATTGAAATGAAGATGAAAGAAACCTAGTCCAAAATGAATAATGCTTGACAATGCTTCATCTAATGAAAATTGCAGATAATATTACTACTACTAATACTACTAGTGGAAATAAAGCAATTGAAATGAAGATGAAAAGAAATCCTAGTCCAAAATGAATAATGCTTGACAATGCTTCATCTAATGAAAATTGCAGATAATATTACTACTACTAATACTACTAGTGGAAATAAAGCAATTGAAATGAAGATGAAAGAAATCCTAGTCCAAAATGAATAATGCTTGACAATGCTTCATCTAATGAAAATTGCAGATAATATTACTACTACTAATACTACTAGTGGAAATAAAGCAATTGAAATGAAGATGAAAGAAATCCTAGTCCAAAATGAACTAATACTACTAGTGAAATAAAGCAATTGAAATCATCTAATGAAAATTGCTTCATCTAAGAAAATAATATTACTACTACTAATACTACTAGTGGAAATAAAGCAATTGAAATGAAGATGAAAAATCCTAGTCCAAAATGAATAATTTGACAATGCTTCATCTAATGAAAATTGCAGATAATATTACTACTACTAATACTACTAGTGGAAATAAAGCAATTGAAATGAAGATGAAAGATATCTTTTTACCCTATTAATTATATCTGATTATGTTCTACCAAATCTTTTTTAACTTCTTTTCTTTTTATTTCATCTCCAGTGTCAGAAGCCGATCGCCGGCGGTGCCATGGCCGTATTCGCATCGAGGGCTGGGCCCGACTCTAGTTGGCATCCCAGCTGCTTCGTGTGTTCCGTCTGTCACGAGTTACTGGTTGACCTGATCTATTTCTATCAGGAGGAGCGACTCTACTGCGGCCGACACCATGCTGAGATACTGAAACCAAGATGTGCTGCTTGTGATGAGGTAAATATAACTCGGGAAATTAAATGACAAAACGGATTTCGACATTCAAAAGGACTTCTTCAGACTGAATAATGTCTTTATTGATGAAAACGACAAAATAAACAAATTTCACTATTTACATTATTCCTCATCTTTATTGCCATATTTATCACAACATTTCGACCGTTGTACGCTCCGACCTTCTTCAGGTGGTTTTAATGTCGAACTGAACCCTTTATTTCGCTTACTGGGATAGACTGTTCTAGTTCCACGTGCCATGTTTAATGGATGTCATTTATCAGTTATCTCCTGTTAATTCACCTCTCCAAGTTCTCCGCTGCCTTAACCAGGTATTGAGCTCACAAAACGAGTTTTGTCATTCAAAAGGACTTCTTCAGACTAAATAATTGTCTTTATTGATGGAAACGAAAATATAAATTTCGTTTCTAATTAGACATCGAGAGAATCGATAAGATTCATGGGCGGTTAAATTTTAAATTTCTGGCGTTCGATATGTCTAGAGGCACAAGATAGCTGACTTCTTGTTGTAAATGAATTTAATGAACTCGACTGGAATTCGAACTCGGCTCTCTGATTTCTCAATCCTGACCGCAATCCATTTCGTGCCGCCAAATTTTTATTTTGTTTTTAAATATCACATCATAATAGCGCCGCTTTTGTTAAGAAAGCTTAAATACAGAATGATACTGAACGTAAATTTGCATGGAAAATTCGGCAATCAATGCACTTTCTATTTATTTTCGCCTTAAAAATAACTTTCTCTTTAAAACTGCATTTATTAAGTCGACATTATGGTCAGTCTTATTACAATTAACGACTAATAAATATTCGGGAAATATCCGTTTTGTATTCATATATTGTTTTATTTAGATTCCTAGAGGTTTTAGCTATGAATTTCTTGGGTAATTTATTATAGTTTATAGTCTAATTCCCGCTTTCAAGGTTATTATCATTCTGTTTTCTGCTAACTAAACCGTTTTATTATTTTAGGAATATTGTAACAAGTATTGTAGTTCAGAAAAATTATTTTCAGTTGAAGTCGGTACTGAAGCGTTTGGTAGTTTTATCAAAATTGTTTATATTATTCTTTTTGTGAATACAGTAAGCTTTACACCTAGCATTAAATATAAAATTACTAGAGAACTTGAGGCGTTTAAAAGTACTGTCTATATCATTCTCTTCATCATGTACATATTAAGGGCTATAAATTCTAAGTGCTCTTAAATTTTGTGTGTGGCCTTAGTCGGTCTCGAGATACCTTGGAACTGCGCCTCATCTGCTGTTGGTGGTGTGCATCTGTTATGGCTATACTGGCCCATTTAGGAGTGACAGACTCGATTGCAATGAATGCATGTGAAGAAGCTCTCTTCCGATGTTGCCGTGTTGTTTTCTTTCCGTCTCCGCAGCGCCAAGTCTTCGTTTCTTTTCTCATCGCTCCAGTTCTCGATATAAATCGCGACTCCGATCGTTGGCGACGTCTTCCTACCTCTCGATGTCCATCGCCCTCAAGTCCGTTTTGAAGGCGTTGTTGAAACGAACTCCTCACACCCGGCATACGATGTACATGTCTAAGCCAGCGGAGTTGACGCCGTTGAAGAAGTGAATATAGTCTGGGTAACTGGGCACTGCTGAGAACTACGGCATTGTTAACCCGGTCGAACCATTTGATGCCTAGAATGCGTCTTTGAAAGCGAAATGGAAAGGCGCTGAGGCGTATCTCCTGCCAGGATTAGAGGCTCCAAGTCTCGCTGCCATAGAGCATCACACTAACCACGCATGCCCTATCCCGCAATTTTGGTGTTTGTAGTAAGCTTTCTGTTCTCCCAGACCCTCGATGTCAGTCTGGTAAACGGGGTGGCCGCTCGTCCGATCCGTCTATTTACCTCAGTGTCTAGGGAAAGGGTATCTGAAACGGTGGAGCCGAGGTGTGTAAATTCATGAACCACCCCCAGGTTGTATTTATTAATTTTGATGGCGGGAGGCTGTTCAACGACTTGGACAATCACGTTGGTTTTCTTCAGACTGATCGTCAGACTGAACTTTTGGCGTTCTTTTCTCTCTCTTAAATAGAAACTGATATAATAATAATAATATTCCAGAATTTATTCTGTTGCTATGGTGAGAATAGAAGTTTATGAAATCATTTTCATTTATAGACTTGCGATTAACATTTAGTTTTATATCATTATTAGTACCGTTTAACACACCATCGAAGAAAGATAATATATCGTTGGTTTCCATTTACATTATTTGTATTGTTCGGATGTTGTCCTCGTCTTTATTGTCATGTTCACGTTCACGACGTTTCAGTCGTTTTACGCTCCGGCTTTCTTCAGGTGAATTTCGAACCAAACCTTTTATTTAGTCTACTGAAGTATATTGTTCTCGTTCCACGTGCCATGCCTTTTTCTGGATATCTCGGTTTCAGTTATTTGCCTTTAGAAACTCAACTCCCCAAGTTTCTCTTCATTTCTTCTGTAGGTATTGAACTCACAACTCTTTAGGTCAAGCCTCCGGATTACTTCCACCGACACTTTTATCCACTGGGCCATTTGTCCTTGGGGGACATGGCCAAGACGGTCGGAGCGTACGACGACCGAAACATCGTGAATATGACAATAAAGATGAAGAAGACAGTCTGAACAATGGAAAAAGTGTAAATAGTTATAATACCTCATCTCAAAAATATAGACAGACCCTGAAGAAGGCCGGAGTATACAAAGGCCGAAACGTCGTGAATATGACAATAAAGACGAGAAAAACAGTTCGAACAATGGAAATAGTGTAAATAGCTCATCTCAGAAATATAGACAGATCCTGAAGAAGGCTGGAGTGTACAAAGGCCGAAACGTCGTGAATATGACAATAAAGACGAGAAAAACAGTTCGAACAATGGAAATAGTGTAAATAGTTATAATACCTCATCTCAGAAATATAGACAGATCCTGAAGAAGGCTGGAGTGTACAAAAGCCGAAACGTCGTGAATATAACAATAAAGATGAGGACAACAGCCCGAACAATGTTAAATAATTTAAATATTTACAATACCTCATCTTAGAAATATAGACAGATCCTGAAGAAGCTCGGAGTGTACAAAGTCCGAAACGTCGTGGATATAGACAGATATCAAAATAGATTCTGTTATACTTTCGATTTTGTTTAGTATATTTACAAGATTATCTTAGATACTTTTGCCGGGAGATATTAACAATGTATCAAAATATGGAAATATGATGCATATATACATATATGCATCATATATCATAATATCGGACGAACGGTAGATTGTTCAGTTAATATATTTTTGTAAAGGACCTGACTCTAGGAATTGGTAATAAAGGCTGACTTAAACACTGGCAAGAGCCAATCCTAGAGATGATGCGAATGTTTTGCTTATAGAAATCAATTGTTCAAAGTGACATAAGATGGGATTCCGACGATTCGGTAACTTAATTTTTATTGGAACTATTGACAAATAGGCTATTCTTTTATTGTGCTAGATATAGATTTTTTTTAATGCAAACATTTTTCACATTTTGTCATTCAATTAGAAACAATGTTGAATACATGGTTTTTATATATGATATGCTCTCATATCTACATATGTGCACAAACATACATACAGACACATACACACACACACACACACACACACACACACACATATATATATATATATATATATCAGTCACTTATGTGCCATACGTGATACACGCTTAGTATCTTTCGATACATCACGAGGCAGATTTTTCCTGCAGCAGGTTGCCATTTCTTTCTGTGGTAGACCAGTTACCATCCAAGGCTATAGAACCAAGTCTATTCTGCTATTTACCCGTAGCTGGGAGAGAAGAAGAGGATTCATACCTTTTCCCAAGGGTATTAGCACCTAAGTGAATGTAATAGATTCAACTAGAAAGTCAGTCAGTCAGTTATGTGCCATGCGTGATACACGCTCAGGCGATCATGTATCTTTCGATACAGGGCGGACGAGGCATATTTTTTTCCTCGCAGTAGGTTGCCATTTCTTTCCACAGTAGACCAATTGCCATCCAAGGCTATAGATCCCGGTCTATCCTGCTATTTACATATAGCTGTTTTAGAAGAAGATTCATACCTTTTCCCAAGGGAATTAGCACGTAAGTGAATGCAATGGATTCGACTAGAAATTCAGTCAGTCAGTTATGTCCCATGCGTGATCAGGCGATCATGTATCATTCGATACATGACTGACGAGGTAGATTTTTTCTCGCAGTAGGTTGACATTTCTTTCTGCGGTAGACCAGCTGCCATCCAAGGCTATAGAACCCGGTCCGTCCTGCTATTTACCCATAGCTAATGGGGGGGGGAGTATGAGAGTATTCATACCTTCCCCAAGGGTATTAGCATGTAGGTGAATATAATGGGCACCACTGGAATTCGCACAGCTCTCCGATTCCTCAATCCATCAATCCACCGTCAGATAATCCTTAAAAATCCATTCGGTTATAATTTATTTCATGAATATATCAAATATTCAATTTTAAGACTGAAGATTTTTTTCCTAATAAATGGAATCAATATATCCCGGCGAAAAGAAATGGGAGAGGAACCGAATGGATTTTTAAGGATCGTCTGTATTCATAATTATATTACTCTGTTACATTGAGCCCTCTTTGGATTAATGTCATCCTTGGAAATATCCCTACTAATTATCTATCTATCTATCTATCTATCTATCTATCTATCTATATATATATATATATATATATATATATATATATATATATTCAAGAAGATAGAATTCCTGTCGAATTCAATGTCCAAGAAAGAGCAAGAATATACTATAAAAGGCTCAAACACTAATATTCCTGGTTATAATTTATTACATTGAATTGAATAATCACGATCCAATTCATCAGACCAGCAAATCGGAAATTTTTTGGTAATCTGTATGCCTGATGAATTGGATCGTGATTACGATTTCAATGTAATAAATAATAACCATGGAATATTAATGTTTGAACCTTTATATATATATATATATATATATATATATATATATATATATATAATTATTTATTTAAAAATATGATTCCAACTCGCATTTTTAAAAAATAGTGCTCGATACAAAAGTAAAGCATAAATATAATTATTTATTTAAAAAATATGATTCACACTCGCATTTTTAAAAAATAGTGCTCGATGCAAAAGTAGAGCATAAATATAATTATTTATTTAAAAATATGATTCCAACTCGCAACCTAACCAGTTCCTTCCTATTTTCTATATATTTTCACACACACACACACACACACACACACACACACACACATATATATATATATATATATATATATATATATATATATATATATATATATATACTATAGAAATGCATTAGATGTGATTTTACTATAAAACTGTATTGGAAATGATTTTACTATAGCAAAGCATTGGAAACTATTTTACTATTTGAATGCATTGAAAATGAATTTGCTATAGATATGCATTGGAAGTGATTTTACTATAGGAATTCAATGCAAATGATTTTACTATAAGAATGCATTGGAAATAATTTTATTATAGGAATGCATTGCAAATGATTTTACTATAAGAAAGCATTGGTAATGATTTTACTATAGGAATGCATTGAAAAAGATTTTACTATAGGAATGCATTGGAACGGAATTTACTAAATGAATCCATTGGAAATGATTTTACTATAGGAATGCATTGGAAATGATTTTACTATAGGAATGCATTGGAAGTGATTTTACTATAGGAATGCATTGGAAATGATTTTACTATAGGAATGCATTGCAAATGTTTTTACTATAGGAATGCATTGGAAATGATTTTACTATAGGAATGTATTGGAAATGATTTTACTATAGGAATGCATTGGAAAATTACTATAGGAATGCATTGAAAATGATTTTACTATAGGAATGCATTGAATATGATTTTACTATAGGAATGTATTGGAAATGATTTTACTATAGGAATGCATTGGAAATGATTTTACTATAGGAATGCATTGAAAATGATTTTACTATAGGAATGCATTGGAAAAGATTTTACTATAGGAATGCATTAGAAATGATTTTAATATAGGAATGGAATGCATTGGAAGTGATTTTACTATAGGAAGCATTTGATTTTTTACTATGATTTTTGCTATTGAAATTGGAAATTTTATTATAGGAATGCATTGGAAGTGATTTTACTATATGAATGCATTGGAAATGATTTTATTATAGGAATGCATTAGAAATGATTTTACTATAGGAATGCATTAGAAATGATTTTATCTGAAATAATTTTATTATAAGAATGCAATTCATCGTTTATTTGTTTATTTTTCAGATTATCTTCGCCGACGAATGTACAGAAGCCGAGGGCCGAAGCTGGCACATGAAACACTTCTGCTGCTTTGAGTGTGACTTTCAGTTGGGGGGTACGCGCTATTTTATGCGTGAGGGTCGTCCTTACTGTTGCGATTGCTTTGACCGCATGTACACCCGTTACTGTGATACTTGCGGGGACAGTATCAGTACCGACGAGGACCAGATCATGTACGAGGGTCAACACTGGCACGCCCTGCCCCAGTGTTTCAAGTGTCACACCTGTCAGAAATCGTTACTCGGCCAACGCTATTTACCCAAGCACGGGGTCATCTACTGCTCGGCATCGTGTAGTCGTGCGGGGTCTATGCAGACTCAGACGCCTAGGAGACCGGAGGATTACTTCCACGATTTGAATTTGCAGAGCTACACTCTGCCCCACTCCCCACCATCGGCTCCACCGAATTTCCCTCCGCCGCCTCCGCCTACGTCACACGCCCAGGATAACAACGGTCAACACCAAACGCCGCAACAACTGACCAGCGACTTTCAACAGCAATGTACGTTAGACAGCTGCGTCTCTTCTGACCGCGACCAGGGCTACGCGACCAGCAGTAATAGCGAGGCCTACGCCCCGCTTGATTTTAATTATATGCGACCAGTCACCCCACACAGAGACGATTCGGACCTTTACAATTATAATTTTACTCGGAACGGACTCGTCGACTCTGCCCCTGCTTGTAGTGGGGGTGGCGGTGGTAGCAGCAGTGGAGGCAGTAGCGGTGGAGGTGGCGGCGGAGAGCTGAGGCGTAAGCATAGACTATCTCAGTTCTCCATGCCAGATCTCACCAAAGACATGCCTGGATCGCCCGAATCTGAGCGCATGGCGGCCTTCCAAAACTGGAAGCGTCATTGCCACGGATCGGAGCGGAGCCTAGACAACCCCAACCTTCTGCCCCACCACCACCATCACCATCTCCACCATAACCACAACCACAATAATTACCAGCAGTTACAGGAATACGACGACTGCAGTGGTGGCGGCGGCGGTAGCGTCAGCGGGAGCGAGAGAACTGCCGACGAAGGCAATATCTATCAGGAGATCTTGTCCAACCACAGTCCCCACCAGTCGCACAGCCCCCACTTACCGTACCCTCACAGTGGAACATCGACCGAGTACTCTCCGAATAACTTTTCAGAAGCGATGCTGGTCCAGCAACAATATCAGAGGAGCCAGCGTTCAATGACACCGACGAGAGATTATTCGTCAATCCCCTTACCGGATGACCAGAAGATGAATCCCATCAGCCGGCCTGCCGAACCTCGGCCGCTTTACGAGATGCGACAACGCGGTCTCCCACAGGTCCACCAGTTGCCGCAATTGCGACAACAGCACCAACATCACGCACAACACCATTCACAGCAGCAACCGGTGGCACAAGGATGCCCGCGCAGTCATAGTTTCGATAGCCGACCGATGGTTGTGCATTTCAGCGACCCACCTCATCAGGGGGCACCGCCCTTGCCGCCGCCGCCGCCTCCAGGTGACCACGCCAATAAGAGAAGCCCCTCAGATCCGGCTATTCATAGCCGCCGCCAAGACGGTAATGGCGAACATCAAGATCGTAATCAACAGGACGACGAGGAGGAGGACGACGACCGTTGTAGTACATGTTCAAGCTCCAGTGATTCGGATGATTATTATTATTATTACGACTGTCCTCGTCGTTACGGAACTCGTATATCTTATGTCGATGACATCGGAATGTCTGGCTGCCGAGTGGGGCGAGGAGGACGAGTTGAAGGCCGAAACACGAGCGGCCGAAATCACAGGGTCGAAGTAAACATTGCGTCATTTCTTAATCTGTTGCTCGTTAAGTTATATATATATATATATATATATATATATATATATATATATATATATATATATATATTCTTTTCCACACTTCAGAATAATTTTGCTCTTTATTTAAAGAAAATAAAGATCGTTGGTATTATGCGCCCCAAACTGTAAAACTAGCGAAGAAAAACTGAATATTAAATAAAACTGTGAATAATTCAAGGCAGACAACCGTGTATGAACAATTCCTAAAAAGTCAAGGTATTTTTTTTTAAAGAACATCATAAAAGAATATATATATACTAAAGAACTTCTTTTAAAGTATTTGGACGAAAAAGAAAAATCGATTTTAAAGACCGGGTTTCACACAAACAAAAAAGGATACAAAAAATGCTTAAAAGAGCAATCAATGATAAATAATAAAGAAAATAAAAAAATTACCCTAAAAGATAAAAAAAAGGCTTAATGAGGAACATACAAAGAAAAGAAATAAAAAAAATAAAAAAAAATAATTGAATGCAAGAAAAAAGTCATTAAATCTATGGAAGGCAAGAATGAAAGTAAACCTTTAAATATATGGAAGTCAAGAATGAAAGAAAAAAAATCCCAAAGTACAAATTTAACGAGTGAAGGAAGAAAAAAAAAATGTCGGACAGTTATTCATTTGTTATATTTTTTCTTAATTAGTTTCTTATTTTAATCTATTTTTTTTCTCCTTGCGCGGCTTGAAAACTCCGGTTTGGTGGCCTTATGTATCTACGAAAAATTATTTAAAAAAAAAAAAAAAATGAAAAAACCGAGTGACAAAAAGAAATGTTGTCGGTTTAAGGATCAATGAAAAACAAAATTGAAAATACTAATAACTATGACCAAAACAAAATCCTCCCTGTTTAAAATATTAATGTTATAGAAAAAGATTATAACAACAACAACAATGCTAATAATAATACGTAATATTATATATGATATAATGAATAATGTATATTATTATAATAATCATTATATTATATATTAAATATATGTAATATATATTTCGAGAGAGATGTGAAATGGCTCTGTGAACAAGTGTGTGCGAGAAAGTTGTTTAATGAAGAGCTTTTAAATGTAAAAAATATGAAATCTGTTTCATAAATAAAAAATAATTTCACTTACCTTTAAAATTCTAAAAATGTAAAAAAAAAAAGTTAAATAAATACACCCACAAAATACACCCACAAAAAACTTAAATAAGTATTTGAAAAAAAAAAAAAAAAAAAAAATATATATATATATATATAAACGTTTTATTTTTGCCAAATTTCTGACGGAGTGAACTCAAAAAAAAAACGTGCGGGCTAAAAAAAAAAAAAAGAAAAAGAAACGAACAAAAAAAAAAAGCGACGAAATAATTAAAACGCAAAAAACTACAAACACTAGAAATAAAACAAAAAAAAATTGAAAAATTTGATCTTTTTGCTTACACACTGAAATCAAAGCACGACATAAAATTTATAAAAATGAGATCATCCCACCATAAATACCACCCCATACCCACCCCCGAAAAAATAATAAAAAAAAAAATCGTAAAGAAGTAATTAGCCAAATATGGCGGAAAACACTCAAATGTTGACGTTGTTAAATTTAACGACTAAAAAAACAGTAAATAAATAAATAAATTACAATAGCAAAAAATGTCAAAAGCAACAACAACAAAAGCACTACCAAACTTAACACCAGCCCACCTCCACTAATAATAATAATAATAATAATAATAGTCATTTTTATTGAAATAAGTAATGAGAGAAAACGACGCCATTTTTTATGATTGAGAAATAAAAACGAAACGAATTCATTTTCGAAAACAAGAACAAAAAAGACAAAAAAAATAAAAAAAGAATCACAGATGGCCGGTCCAATGAATAAAATTAAATTCATAATCGATTCTGAAGAGTGGTTGCCAATAGCAACAATTTGGCAGAAGCATATCAATTATTAATTCAATTACATTAAGAAAAAAAACAAACTCTTTTTTTTATCTCTTCCCATTGAATGAAACACTTGCTAAATTTGAACTAAATCAAGCAAAACATGAAAAAACAAAAAAAAAAAATAATTAAATAGATTTTTAACTGCATCATCAAAATAAATCGGAAATAATAATAATAATAATAATAATAATAATAATAATAAGTGCCAGAATCGTTACAAGAAAAACGACACTGTAATATCAAAAGAATTATGAACGTTATTAAATAACCAGAGATAAAAATAAAAACAATAAACAATAACTTCGCCCGGTTCACACTCCTCCGGTCTTTTGAACAGTAGTAGAGGTTATTTTTCTGTTTAGGATTGGATTCCTGGTTCCTTCTAAAGTCTTTTCATTCTCTTTCATTCCCAGTAGCTTATTGCATCTTAGTGGCATTATCGTCTTGCTTGGGGTGAATTGATTTAAAAAAAAAAAGTCCAAGGTATGTTTAGGCCTACAATTTGAAAGAGAAAGGTGTTGCCAATTGTGAGGACGTTCGATTGAATGTCTGAACATTCTTAAATATGCACATTTAAGACATAAATGGGTTGTAATGTATTTGTGCGCAGAACAATCCTGTATTTCACTATGCGACACTTGGTATGTTAGGGTAGTGTATTCTCCAAAGAGGAAATAAGACACGTCTTGTCACTCCAAAAAGGAAATGAGACACATCTTGTCCCTCCATGGCGGAGATGAGATACGTCTTGTCACTCTAAAGAGTAAACGAAGCAATCTTGTCACTCCAGAGAGGAAACGAGACACGTCTTGTCACTACAGAGAAGAAAAAAGAAATGTCTTGTCACTTCAAAGAGGAAATGAGACACGCCTTTTCATGCCAGAGACGAAACGAGATATATCTTTTCATTCCAGAGTGGAAACGAGACATGTTTTATTATTCCAAAGAGTAAACAATACACGTCACTCCAGAGCGGAACGCGATAGGTCTTGTCACGAAAAAAAAATACCCCCCCAAACTGTGAATGATAGAAAAGAAAATTATTAAAACATGTTTTAAAACCCATTACTAAAACTCTGAAAAAAAAGAATATCCAATGATTTCTCGCATAATTTATCTTTACAAGAGTTAGAGCAAGTAGCAAAAAAATGGAGTCTTGCTGCCATATTTGAACTGGAGGCGTTCAATCATCACTTTCCAACATGGATAGTGTCCCATTCTGAAACCTCTTTCCTCACAGTCGCAAAGTTGCAAGCAAGTCACTACTTTATCACTATTTTAGTAGTAAATGTTCTGAAGAATTCTACTCTGTCGTTCCTCCAGTTCAAACTTTTACTGCTAGGAAACAGCACACCATTTCCACGCGGGCGAAACATTCTCACTTCTTTCGTAATCCAAATTTAAGAAGAAAGTTCTACTCCTGCAACCTTTTTTTTTTTTTTTCTCAATAGCAGCCATTTTGGGGGACCACATCCCGTGCAGTCGCTTCCTTGAACATTTTAATGCTGACCTCTTCAAGACTAAGGTCAATCGGTATCTATCCTCCTTATCCTCATAATCCCCCCTTCCTACCACATCTCTCTCACTCATATCACACACCTCACTCATCATTATAATTTCTACTGTAGCCCTACCTTGAGTGGCCCTGGTCTGTTGTATATATATATATATATATATATATATATATATATATATATATATATAAAGTTAATATATATATAAATTAATATATATATATATATATATATATATATATATATATATATCTGTTTATATGTATATATATATATATATATATATATATATATATATATATATATATATATGCATGTATGTATATATACTTAAACGAAAACCAGGACAACCATGAAAACCAAAAGCAATATTGTCAAATGATACAAGACTTCAAGTACAATGACAATTTTAAAAAAGGAACTCACTGCGAAAAACAAAAAGAAAATATATAATATATATATATATATATATATATATATATATATATATATATATATATATATATGGAAGGAAATATTGCAATAAATAGAAAAAAGACTTTCAAATGGACAACGACATCCAAAGAACATCGTGAAAAAAGCTTATGAAGAGCGGAAGACTGCAGAGCACCATAGCAATCTGGCTAAGAAATGACTCGTCAGATTAATATTCACTCGTTGCCCTAAGCTACTGACCTTGTGCCTAATCTAAGATAAGCTTAGTAAACAACAGCTCTACAACATTTTAGACATTAAACTGTTTAATGTTTGCTCAAGCGTACTGGAATTCGCATTCAAAAAAGCAATAAAAATAAAAAAAGCGAAGAATGATATAAAAGTAAAAAATGAACACAATGCTTCAAAATCTGGACGAGCGCAATTATATGGAAGAAGAAAGCAATAAAAATATTCAACTGTAAACGCTTTTTCCGGTGTCAAGGAGCAAAGCTAAAAGCTTCACACAAAACACACACACACACACACACACACACACACACACACACACACACACACACACACACACATATATATATATATATAAAATCATTTATTCGAAAATTATAACATAAGCATGTTATAAAATCACTAAAAAAGTAGCCATTTTGTTTCAACACTTCTGGTGTCATATCAATTGATCCATCACTTGATATGACACAGGAAGTGTTGAAACAAAATGGTTATATTTATAGTGATTTTATAACATTTTTATGTTATAATTTTTGAATAAATAATTATATTTGCTCTACTCTGTATTGGGCACTCTTTAGAATAGTATTTGTTGATTATTGGAATTTATTCCGTATACACCAATCCTATACTTATATATATATATAATATATATGGCGATCATGAGACATTGTAAAGCCTAAAAACAACGCGTTTCATCGATGGTGTCTGTTGGTTTCAGTTCCTTCAGATCGGAATGAAAGACAAAAAACTGTGTGTAAGGAAAATGTGTTGGAATTTTGAGGATAAGAGGGGCAATAAATGAAAATACTTTATCAGATTCGACGACCAGATTCGGATTATATTGCAAAAAGCTGTAATGGTTAACATCAGACAGTCGCCATAACCTTCTGTTAGTGCCATCTTAGTTGTTCAAGATGAGGGCTATATAATGCTTTCAGTTAAATTCTGAAATTGATCGATATAACGTTAAGAAAGGCAACATTTTAATCATTAGGAATGAGTCATATATTTCGTGAACTCTTAGGACAATATTACAAATTGTTGTATAGTGTTGGTTTTCAATAGTCAACTTCAAGTCATCTGACTCTTTTCTTTAAACTTTATTTATAAAATACTATTTAACAAACCCACTAAAAAAAGGTTTATTCTAAAATCTGATATATTCGGAACAATTTAATAGTAACACAAATGATAATCTATAAATTCTATTAATGATTAACAGTAGATAGATTAATAATTAATCTCTTATGTTTAGATAAACTAACAACTAATTGAGCTTCTCATAAAAGACTCTCTTGTTTATATTTAATATTACAATACTGAAGAGTTAAACTTTTTTCCCATACAGAGAGTCTCTGGCGTCTGGATAAATATTAACCCACTAGATAAGTTGATTTTACTTATAAAGTCAGGAAGGATATTTGGGGGTTATTTTGTGGAGTGTAGGAGAGATTGTCTTATATATCAGAGGTGTTTGGGCACAATGGTTAACAAGCTTGTCTCGGTAGAATAATTATGACTGGGTAGTCGATCCTCACAGTTGACCCATATTCTCGGCCTTGTGCCATATCGAAGCTACGCTTGGAAAATCATTATACCAGAGCTGTTTATCTAACTTCTTATCAGGTATAATAATTTTTTTTCCAAATTCACTTCCATATCATTCATATAAATCTCGCCATTATCGGAACGTCGTGATATTCATAAATAATGAACGGTTTTCCGAGTACTCTTAAGAATACTATTTGTTGATTATTGGAATTTATTCCGTATACACCAATCCTATACTTATATATATATATATATATATATATATATATATATATATATATATATATATATATATATAAGGCCTAAAAAAACAACGCGTTTCATCGATGGTGTCTGTTGGTTTCTGTTGGTCCGTCTAGGACGTCTAGCCAATCCCACTTGCAGAAGCCTGCTCAGGCCCATTTGTTTTTGATCCAACACTCACACTGCTCACCTGTAGTTTAAACTGCAACTATGTTGAGCGGAGTTTTGGGGGTGAGAAAGCATAATCTGTTAGGATTTAACATTTTGAGAAACGTCAGTCCGATCAGACCCTCGGTCACGATGACTCGTGATTTCGTGCTAGCGCAACCACTGACGGCCCCTGAACAATTCCCTCTACCCAACCTCACTCTCAATGCTTGCGTTTTCAGGCACTTTTACAAAGGTTCCGAATACTGGGATCGCGTCCCCACCCCCAGATAGATAACGTCATAAATCCCCCTTCCTGACAAATCAGTTATGGATTTCATTTATAGATACATACATACTTATCTACATGGTGACTGTCGACTCGTTAAACGAGTGTAGACATCGCTGACAAATTTTGATATATAGTCGCATCGTATTGCTTCGCCAGGGCTACATACTGTTTTGAATTCAGAATTAAGACTGGTCGATAACTAAGTTTGAAGTGCCTAATCTATCCAAATATTTACCCCATTAACAGTGTGCCCTCTAGGTATCGCCTTCTGACAAGTTAAGCTAAAATAAATGGTCGCTTTCTGTAGCGTATAGTTAGTGAAGTAATCTTTGAGATCATTGTTTCTGTAACGTGTGCCCTGTTACAGTGATCTTGTATCTGACATTAAACATAATAAAAAATTAGCGCTTCTTATAGCATCATAGCTATAGAGTAAGACGAGGAGACCAAGGTCAGTTCTTCACTCGACTGGGTCTCTGTTCAGACTAGGTTAAACTTACTATGGTGTGATGGCGAGCAAATTATTTTCGTAAATGGTTGACTGTTTTAGTGTGTTCGATCGTTACTGCGTATCCTATTAATGTGGTCATGGGTGAAACCAATAATTTAAAAAAAAATTTAAAAACACTTCAATAGTTTAACCGAACCAATCAAGTTCCGTGACGTATATCATTACAAACCTGGAAGTAAATATCAATTCAACATGGCTGCCGACGTAATTAGGAGGAAATATGAATTCAAATTGGCTGTCATAGTAACCGGAAAGAAACTATAGATCCAATATGGCTGCCGACTTAACTGGAAGGAACTATGAATTCAATATGGCTGCCGACGTAACTGGAAGGAAATATGAATTCAAAATGGCTGACGACTTTTGGGTCTGACTTATTCAGTGACAAGCTCAAGTTTTCTTCTTTTTCCTTTGTAGCCGCTTTTTTTTTTTACATTGGATTATTATTATTATTATTATTATTATTATTATTATTTATTATTATTAAAATTCCTGTTTTCATAATGATGATGGCGACAATACGATTTCCATTATTTTAACTTTTATTATAGCTGTTAGCTGCATTTTGGCCAATTAGTAGTAATATTATAATAACGCTTTATATAAGTATTTTTACATTAGTATCAAGTTTTGAGTAGTATATTCTTTCATTTTAATAGTTGATTTTTATTGTGACTTTATCCAGGCCGTCAAACTACGGCAGAGTGTAAATGGCGCCGATTGGAAATCCGAAAACTAAAATGAAAGACATTACTTGCCAAAAAATTGATAGTAATGGTTGACATCTAATAGTTAAAGATAATATTGTTATTTTATATAACATTATTATCATCATTGTTCGAAACAGTGTAATGCGCGTTTATATTAGAATAATTATTATTATAATTGCTGTTTTCCATTATTACAATCGTTATTATCACCGTCATCATTATTATTATTATTATTATTATTATTATTATTATTATTATTATTATTATTATTAATTTTTTCCCCGCCGATTGTTAAGAAGGTATATCTCCGAAACAAATGTAATTGAAATAAAGAATTAAAATAAAAAGC